CCAAGACATGGATTTGACTTTCAGGTTGTTATAAACTGAAGCCCCTATTGACTTCGTGTCTATCATCGCTTGAATAAACTTCGCAAAAGAAGGGTACTCGCATCCATCGGCGACCAGAAACGGGCGATCATACATTTCTTTGAATGTTGCGGTATATGTTTTATCCTTGTATTTTAGCTCAACAAGGTCTCCTTTAGAGAAGCAACCTAACAAGTATGCTTGATTAAGCTTTTCATGAATAGCCCTAGGAGTTTCGATGATGACACTAACATTTCTTTCGGCCGGTTTGACAGGAAAATATTCTTTAATCCTCGTTGTTTGCTTCAGTTTTTCACTTCCAGGTTTATCCAATACACTTTCATCAGAGATTTTAAAGAAATGCAAATTTTCGCTTTCAAATGGAATGTTGACCTTCCATAATTTAACATATCTACTGTTGACGCCTAAAAATATGTTCGGTTGCTTTTCCATAATAATCTCTTTGAGATCACTAACTAACTTATCATTCTCGATCTCAATCTTAAAAATATTTTCATTAGGGTTTTCACCCGCCACTAGACAGAATAATGTAATAGGAGACATGTTTAAAAGTTGAAAGATTATTTAGCAAAAATATAAAGAGAATATTTGTATTTACAATCTTCCAAAACTTCAGCTGTCAAAAAGAAAATACAGTTATTATAAAATGAGAGAGAGTGAGTGAGTGTGCGAGTGTATGTGTGCATTATATTTATATCGTCAGTAACGTGTCTATGTGACACAGAATTACGTAATAATTTCACGTCCAATCAAAATTAAAGAATAAAAGTGAGATTCATCAAAAACAATAATAGAATTTTCAGGAATTAATTTCTGTTTGATTCATTCTTTTTCTATAAACTAACATTATCCATAGTTAAAATTCGAGCTTCACTTCAATGTCGTAAAAAAATTTTACATCAATATGATTCACTTCCTGTTAAAGAACTTATATTAGATGTAAAAATTAGGTTTGAATTATTTGAGGTTAGTTTTTAAGATAATTTATATTATAACTAAGATTTATAAAAATTTAATTATTAATTATTATAATTATTATAATTATTAAAGGCTTTAGACAATACTGAAACTTCAGAACGAGAATTCCTTAGCCCTTACAGCCAATGAAGTTAATGGAAATTCGTTTTCGAGTTCTAACAAAATCTTTCCATTTATAAGAAATGTTATTTCCGTCCGTTTTAGATCTTTAGGTA